ACCAAGAACGTGCTTTCCTGAAGCACTCCTCCTTGACTTGCCTTTGCTGTGCTGCCCTGGGCCAAGCGCCCTTAAACTGAAGAGCAGATGGCCTGGAGCCTTCCTGATTAAAGATCTGCTAACCCATGCTCCAGCCTGGCAGTTGGGATCCTTCACTCCAAGGTAACAAAAGGCTTTTTTGCTGTGCTGTCAGTATTTCCAGCATGGTCAGGTGAGGAGTTCCTCTGCCTGTCACCCCAGCAGACAGAGGAGTTAGCCCTCATCAGTGGGTGTCTCCTTGCTGGTCTCACATGCCAGGACAGCACTTGAACAGCTTGGGCCAGCCACCTCCGTGGGCTGACACAGGCTGGTCCATGTTGCCCGTGGCCATGACCCAGCACCAAGCTCCATCCTTGCCTCCCTGGCCAGGGTGCTGTGTCCATCCCACAGCCACAGGGATGCCACCCCACTGACAGACCAGGAGCACTCCCTTCCCCACCAAGCGCTGCAAAGAGTGCAGACTTTGCACCCCAAGAGGCAAGATGGAGCCCAGTGTGAGCAGCCAGAGGTGCAGGGGAGGAGGTGGGGACCATGGGTTTGGGAACCTTTCAGAATACACTTAGAGGTGTGTCTAACACATCCCAGCATCATTAGTGCAAGGAGTCATTCCTGCTTCCCCAAGCTGTAACATCAGGCTCGCCCAGATAAATCACTTGTCCAGGTACGCTTTGATAACATTTGCAGGATTATCTTCACCACTTGGGAACATATTTCCATACTGATTTAATGAAAGCAGGGATTCTGGAGTCAGCAGGAGTTGGAGCCTCACAGACGGCTCCTAATCCAGGAAATTGGATGTGGTTGAAAATGTTTCAGCAGTCAAAGCTTGGGAGATCCTGCTGTGGCTCATTCCTGATGTGAGGCTCTGCATCCACAACATAATAAATCTGAGTTTAGCACACCTAATTCTTAGTTTAAAATACCACAGGCCACATAATACAAAGTGGCTGAACAGGTACAAAGGCTCCCTCCCAGTGGAAAGGTGTTGCAAATCACTGCAAGAGTAACTGCAGCCAAAAGAGGCTTTTGCCAGTAGAAGAGCACAATGTACAAGCGGGCTTTGGTCCACAGGCTTTTCAGCCAGGCCCTTTCCCAGTTCCTCCCAGGTCATCAGTGAGGATGCCCCCTCTATTGCTGCAGCCCTCACAAGAAGATCTGGGGCAGATGTTTGCTCTTTTGCTTCAGACACTTGTCTGACTGGGTTTCTCCTTTGGCAGCTGCTAAACCATCTTGTTTAGAGCCGCCCCTCGGCTCGGCCCATGTTCCAACTCAACCCCAGAGCTTGCACCAGCTGGACTCCAGCCCTCAGCCCGCAGCACCAGTCTGGCTATGCTGAGGCACACAAGTGCCTATCAGCCAGACCAGAAGGCATGCTCTAAATCAAAGCTACTCGCAGTGATGAAACTCTCTTTTAGCAATCATGTTTCCCTCTTCAACCTAAGGTGTATTGCAGCTTGGAGGTTGGGAGGTGTGAGGATGTCCATGAGGAAGGCTGTGGTCTCAAGAAAACGTGCCATCTCAGCATAGGGAGATCAGCCTGGGATCTTTGAGTGCCAAGGAGAATGTAGGAAGAAGGCTGAGGCCCTGAGAGAAGAGCTCCAAGGAGCACCACGAGCAGCTCTAGGGACATACTGGGATATCTGGCCCCTTGTATGGGAAAGTTGGGTTACAGCCAGCACTGGGGGATGGGTTCAGGCCCCAAAGGCATTAAAAGCTTGAGGACTGTCTGGGATTGCTCACAAGGGCAATTTGCACTTTCCAAGGAGAATGAGCAGATTGTGCAAGGAAAGGCTAGTGAGAGGTTAGCCAGTTGCTCCCAGGAAGCAGGTGACTGAAGCACAGGCCACACTGGAGGTGCCCATGGTCAGGACTTGAGTGGGGTGCCTACACCTAGCATAGTACATGCTTGATGGGGTCTTTGCTGTGATGCCTGGGCTTGAACACCTGTGTGAATTTGGTCTGTCCCATCATGGCAGCTGGCTCTTCTACATCCCCTTTACTGGCCCCGTCCTGTCCAGGACACAACCCCAGTTTGCAGAAAGCAGGTGCAGATGCAAACACCACCTGCCTCACCCTCATAACCAAAGGTGAGGCACAGCTGAAGTCATATCCCACAGTCATTACTCCTCTCTCCACACTCATGGCTCCCTCTGGCCAAGAGTTTGGCATGGACAAGGGTGCTGTTTGAAGCAACAGCATCACATCTACTCACTCCCTTTGGACTGAGCAAAGAAGACCTTTGCCCTCAAGTTACAATGCAGATCAATGACTCTCCCTCTAATACAAAGCTAGGATTTGAAACGTTATGCAGGAAAGCTCTTCTGGTGAGGAGAGGCAGGAATGGTGGAGGAGAAGAGGCTTGTCCCTGTGTAGAGTTCCCACACAAGCCCACAACACTGTAGTCTGTTCTGATCTGTCCTCATCTTCCTCATCTGCATCCTTTGCAGATCAAATGGGCTGCTAAACTGCTGGCGCATCCCCTGGCTGGCCCACTGCACACTGATAAGGAAGGAGGTGACAGGCGGTGAAGACTGCCAGCTCTAGCCAGTCTGGCTCTACCCTTCCCAGCCCGCAGTGGCTCTTCCTACACCACATTGCTCCTAAAAATCACAGGCAAGCACCTCTGTGTCTCCAGTGTGGTGGAGTAGGTGTCAGTACACCTGGGGACACCATCCTTGCCTGCTGTGACACCAGGGTGAGCAGGGACCTTTCTTCCCCTCAGTTCAGCCATCCCTTGTGAGGATGCTGATGCTGAAGTTTTAGAGTTCGTCATCTCATCATGATGTCTCCAACAGGAAGGCAGACGTGACATTGTCCTGATGGTGGTGGCCCCTGGCCTGCAGGCAATGGGACACCCTGTGGCCCCCTTGCCTGTGGTATTAGCCTGTTGTGCTAATGCCATTTAATTCAAGGTTTCATGAAAGCCAGTGGAGACACCTGGACTTCTATTAGACAAATACAGGCTGCCCGAAGTAGACTCAAGCCTGGAACCTGAATTTCCTTGATGTGAAAAGCTCTTTAAGCACCTTCTCTGGAATGGTAGCCCCTCCTTCATTATCATCTCTTAGCCATTAGCTGGTCTCTAATTTCCCCAGCAGCATTTGGAGGAAGGTCCCTGGACAGACATAACTCAAGGACTTGGTGGCTGCTAAGGCTTGGTCACAGTGCCCAGCTGCCAGAAATGCTGCAGAAAACACAGAACCTACCCCATAGCTTTTAAAAGGCCTCCTCCACCTCCATCTGCAAGAGAGCAAATATTTACACATTTCCCTTCCCCATCCAACAGTCCCGACCAGTCCAGCCCCCTAGACCATGGCTCCAGGAGCAGCTCAAGTACTTGGAGAGATGCCTGGGGTTTAGTCCCACAAAACCTTGGATTTGAAAGGAATTGATTTAATAACACACACATCCCAAGTAGAGGATGACTCTATTTACTTTTTCTCCTCCTCATATGGAGCCCTTCTTGTCCTGCTCCACATGATCCCTTGATCCCTTGGCTCAAGACTGAACCCCAAGGCAAGTGAAGAAGGAGAAAGGGGGAGCAGGCATGTCAGAGCAGAGAAGACCACTTTGGCCTTTACTCTAGGCCTCTTGTGTCACGGAGCGATCAGCAACCTGGACAAAGTCTGGGGCCTGTTTCTGCCCTCTCCAACAGGCAGGCAAGAGGGTCTCCCTGCTACGTCTGCTGGCACTGATGGAATCAGCTGGAAGTACTCAGTAGTGCCATCCTCAGGGGTCATACTGGAGGGGGGTAACAGGGCTGGGGACTCTCACACCCTCAGCAGAGAGGGAACCGATGGGCCTCACAGTCATGGAAGAAAAAAATTGTTTCAGAGAGTTTCAGTTCTGGGCCTCTTAAGGAAATCACAGTGTGTCTTGTGACTTAGAGACAAATATGCAAGACAAGGAGAGCTCTAAGCCACAGGCTTGGCACGCTGCCTGAATTTTTCCCTCCTCTTTCAGTGTAATTACAGTTGAGCCATGTAGTAATTGGGTAACTTTTTCCAAAGGAATCCTTTCACCCAGTGAATCATACTTGCCACAGAGAGAACATAGAGACAGATAAAAGACATATAGATCCTATGGTTTATTGTGATAGAAGCATTTTGCCCCCATCCCCTTCTTCCTCAGGCCCCTAGCTGTGTTCAGGGTAGAATCAAGAGCCAGGCACGGCACTTTTCCAGATAATTTCTTCCCAACCTTCCAAGGCTGCTTCCTCCTGACTCACTCTGCCCTGCAGCCAAGACAAACTGTACAGCTTTGAAGGTACCTATGGGTTCTGTAATGGACAGAGTGGGGATCCATTCTGAATTAGGTGAAGTGTCTGGAAAAGGTGAGGGGTCCGTAGGGCCCCTAAAAAAAAGGACTGTTTTCCCACCTTTTGTTCCTACACCTACAAAAGTGGGTGGTAAAGGCTGGGTCAGCAGCTGGGCAGTCTCCAGGGACAGAAAGGATTCATAGTGCAGCTGGGTGACTCTGAATGCAGCTTCAGTCTTCTGTTACTGGGGTTTCACCTGGACTACAAAGAGCTTCTGAGGCACTATGTGTGCTCAGTGACATTTTTTCTACTCCTGATTTAACCAGAGCTGAAGATGCCCCCCCTCACTACAGACCCTTCCTGCCAAGTCTTGATCCATTTTCCGTGTGGGACAAAAGCCTTGGATAGTAAAACATTCATTGTAAAACTATTTTCCATTGGACTCATGGACACACACAGCTGGATCTCCTCCTGGAGTAGCCCACAGCCTGCTTGGAAGGGCTGTGTTCAGCATCCTGGAGAGGAGGCTGGGTGAGTGTGGGAGGAGGCAGCTCTGTCTAATAGACCCTCCCTCCTCCCAAAACCAGCCCCTGCTCCTCTTCCCATTGGTGCCTGGGGTGGAGAAGGGCTGGCACAACTCAGCTCTCCATCTATTTAAAGGCTAGGGTGGGGCTCCAGAAGTCACTTGCCTGGGACCCTTGCGCCTCAGCGGAGAGGAGCAGTGCCCTGCAGAACAGCACCATGTCTTGCGTGAGTAGGGAAAGGGATGGAGTGGCTTTGCTGCAGGTGGGACTGTGTTGGCTGGGTGTGAGGGTGCTTGTGCTGGCCTGCACATCAGCCCCACTGTCAGAGGGTCTGTTAGAGCTGGGTGCCTGCTACTGGTGAGGGATAGTCCGTGCTGTATCCCCTACAGAGTGCTGGCTGCTATTTTGTGTTCTGGTTCTTTTTTCCTGTAGGATCCCTTTGGGGCAGTACGTGTGGGGATCCTCCCTGGGTTGAGTCCTGACCTGTTTTACTGCAGTTCTAGTCGGGAGAAGCTGCTGCAGTAACATTTATTGCTGTCTGAGCATCTTCTCTGGGCAGCCTTGCTGCTTGCTTTCTGCTGAAGTTTTCATGAGTCACTGAATTGTTATTCTTCTCTTTCCTGGAAGGAGTGTGCTGTACAGAAGTGTTCTGTGAATGTCAAGGACTGCATTCAAATACCTTAAGTTAGAGAGGTTATCTTAAGGGCAGGTATCAAGAGTATGGGGCCAGACTCTTTACAGGGTTGCCCAGCAAGAGGGGAAGGGGCATGAGGCACAAACTGAAACAAAGGGAGTTAGAGTTGAATATGAGGAAACACTTCTTCACTGTGAGGGGACTGAGCACTGGAACAGGCTGCCCAGAGTGGTTGTGCAGTCTGCTGCTCAGGAGGTATTCAAAAGCCACCTGGACATGACACTGCAACCTGCTGTATGTGAATCTGTTTTAGCAGGGGGGTTGGATCTCCAAGATCCTTTCCTTAGCTGTTGTGCTAGGGAGATGCTTGTGTTAGAAGAGTGATTACACTTCTTTGACTTGATTAAGCAGGGATTGTCCCAAGTGCAGGCTTATTTTTTAAGGCGGGATAGGAAAATATTTTCAGTATTCTTGAGGTCCTGGCTCTGCTGTGATGAAAAATGAATACATGTGGGTTTGCCAAGATGCTTTGGTCCTCCTAGAGAGAAGGTGGGGGGCAGGTATCTCTGTGGAGGAGAAGGACGTTCTTGCAAATACTGAACCTACATTAAAAAAAAGCTGCAGCTGTTGGGAGATGGGAAGCAAGGTGTCTGAGTCCTTGGACCTGGGCAAGGCTGAAGTTCAAACACGAGCTAGGGGAAGGGAGTGGAGTCTCCATCCGTGCCATCCATCCCAGACAGATTTGTGGGATGACACAAGACCCGCAAGGCACATGGGCGTGTTTGGGATGGGGTGGGTGTGATTGGAGTGTGCAGGTGCTTACACTTCCCTGCTGTGAAATACAGAGATGTTGATGAGAGCAGCAGGAGACAGATTAGGAAATCGAGCTCCAATCAAAGGTACCATGTGATTGGGGTAACTTCTCTGGGATGTCCTTGCTGCCTTGCCCTAGGGCAAGGGAGCTTCCCTGTTTCTCCCTGGGTCCAAAGCAAAGCATGTCTTGTGAGGCAGCAGGGAAAGCTGCCAATTCAGAACAAGTGAGCCAGCAGGTACTGAGCTAATGTTTCTGCTTCCACATTCCCCAGGGACCAGTGTGCACCAACTTGGGTCTCAAGCCTGGCCAGCGCCTCACTGTCAAGGGGAAAGTTGCACCAAATGCCAAGAGGTGAGTTGTGCTGTGCTGCCCAGGCATGGCCAGGGCACCGCACTGAGGGGTCTGCAAAAGGACTCTGTCCCTTGGGGAGAAGAGGAGAAGGGTTAACACCAGCAGTGCTTCCAGTGAGTCATCACCTAATGCACATTGCAGACACAGTACTGCCAAGGGGCTAAGCCAAAGCAGATGTGAAGTTCCAGCTGCACACGCTGGCAGCGACCACATCCTTCTAGTGCAGGGTGAAGGAAATGGAAGCGTGTCTATACTGAGACCTGGTTTGAGATCATCTGCTCCACCACATCCTCTCCCCTGCACGAAGATGCCAGGAGTAGGGACATTTATGGTGCCCCAGTGGATTTGGTGCTCTCACATGGCAGTGGGGAAAGGAGGAAGAAAGGTGGTGAGCAGGCAGGTGGGCTGAAGGGGAAATGTACCCCTAAATGTGCAGGGATTGGGGTGGCTGGGGTCCCAGTGAAGCCTGTGCAGCAGCCCCCAGCCCTTGTGCAGCTCTGTGGCTGGGGGTCCTTTGCAGGTAAGGTGGAGCCTGTAGCTGCTGTACCAGAACTAGCGGTGTTCCAGGAAACAAGTCCCAGCTCTTCCCAGTGCCTTTGAAGTTTGATACTGTCTGAGTGAAGCCTCCCAGGCTTTCTCTTGCCAAATAATGTGCCTCTTCTCATCTGGGTGAGAGGCCTGAAGGCAAGGTGGACACAAGGCTAGGAAACTTCCTCCCACTGCTGTTGCAGATACTTTGGGATAGCTAATGACATGGTAATTATTTCAGCTGCCTGCAGGATGGGGAGAAGGCAGTGGCTGTCAGGCAGGATGCAGCACTAGCTAACTGTTCAGGACTGAAAGGAAATCTATGGAAGGCAACTGACTCCTTGGGAGTCGGTTTGGGTGTATGATAACTTTGCTCAGGGCACTGTGTACTGAACCTTTCTCTTGTTAAAAGCTTTGAGGAAGTGGTGTTCTCCCAGGGATGGCACTCTGCAGCCTATCACCCCAAAAAAAGTGCCTCTTACAGCATCATCTTTTTAGGGAAGCTGTGCAATTTAGCAGAGGGTTTCTCTTAGGTTACCCTCGGCAGGGCTTGAAGAAACAGACCCAGGGATGCTCATGGTAATGAGAAACATGCTACCATAGTATTGATTTTATTTTTTTCAGCTGTATTGATGTCTGCCTTTCTTTTTTCTCTGCAGCTTTGTGATGAATCTGGGCAAGGATGCTACCCTCCTTGGACTTCACTTCAATCCCCGTTTTGATGCTCATGGCGATGTGAACACCATCGTGTGCAACTCAAAGAAGGTGGAAGAGTGGGGTGCAGAGCACAGGGAGGCTGTCTTTCCTTTCCAGAAAGGGGGCACAGCAGAGGTGAGCCATGCAAACATTTATATATGTATATACACTCTCTGTACATGCTGTGAAGGGAGGATGTTTGGCACAGGACACCCAGCTGCAAGGGCTGTCTCAGGGCTGTCTGTACAGGAGCTGGCTGGCTTCTCCTGCTTGGCCAGTGCCACCACTCAGGGCTCTGAGCTCTGGTGGAGGGTGGGGATCAAATGTCTAAGCTCCATCTGTCTCAAAGATGTTGCTATTGAACAGAGCAGGGAATGGGCATCTCTTGGGAGACCAGAATAACACTCCTGCTGTTGAACAGGTTATTCTGCTGAGCTTGTTCACCCTGTGAAGCAGAGGGTGGCACAGCAGTGCTGCAGAGGCTCGAGGAAACTTTCTCTAACTTTTCCATTTGCCTTGCAGATCACTTTTGCTGTCAACCAAAGTGATGTGACAGTCCACCTGCCAGGCCACCAGTTCACGTTCCCTAACCGGCTTAACCTCTCTGTCTTTGACTACTTTGATACACAAGGGGACTTCACACTCCAGTCCATCAGCTGGGAATAACTTCCTCTGACACCTCCATCTCAAAGATACAGAAAAAGCAATCAATAAATAAGAGTTTTGATGTATTAAGTCTCAAAATCTAATCTGTTTAATATTGCGAGTCCTCATGGGTTGGGCACCTTGCTGGGAGTGGGTGGATGGGGTAGCCAGTGTTGCTGGAGTACCCTAAGTGGAGGCAATTGTCCCAGCCTTGGGCCTTGAAAGTCATGGATGGAGAAGAGAATGAAGGTTAAAAGCCTGGGAACACAGGTTAAAAGTCCAAGGAGAGTTGCAGGAGGAGGCATTGGGGCTAATTGTCACTCAGAGGAGCGTACAAACATTCTTTAAGCAAGGCCACAAGCTGTTGAGGTCTAGACTGACACTTTACACTGCCTGAATAAATTACCTAAACTAAGCACTCCTGGCTGACATCAGACAGCATTGAGTGGCTGGGCTAGCTGAGCCTAGTGGGGCATGGAATGAGGGGAGGTCCTCAGCTGTGCTAGTTTTGGCTGCAGCCTTCTGTAGAGGCTGTAGGAATTCCTATTCCTGTGTCTGCTTGGGACCTCTTACTGCTGTATGGAGCCAGTAGAAAAGCTGCCTTGCTGGGTGTGGCAGAGCATGTAGAGGGTTCCTCATCCAAATCCTTTCTTCCAGTAACTGTAGGAGCACAAAGTGTGCTGTGGCACAGGAGGGCAGTAACGTGGAGGTGTCTGATTTTATTCTGCCCCTTCTGCTTTGCCTGTTCACATCCAGAGCTGAGGGAGGCAACAGTGTCCAGCTGGAGGGTGGGATGCTAAGGATGTGTGCTCTATGCTTTTGTTCCCATTTATACTTGGCCCACATGAACCTGAGTCTAAACTAAGCCAGACTCTGAGGAGACTGAGGCAGTCAGGCATGTTTGATGTTACTCATAGCTGCCTTGGGGTCTCTCTCAGTCTAATGCTGCCTTGGTGCTGCTGCTGAGCATGCTGTGCCTAGTGGCTGTAGGAAAGGTGGGATCTGCCCTCTCCACAGTGCACAGCAGTTACCAGGTCGCTCTGAAATGAAAGGCTTGGCCACAAGCAACACAAAGCACTAGCAATTTGATGTACTACAGAATTCCCTGCAGGCCTGGCTGGGCTAATTCCTCACATTAAGCAGTCTCCAGAGCAGCTGGAGAACAGGGACTTTCCCCTGCAGCAGCTGTACCTGCCATTCTTATTTCATAATTCATGAGGCTCTGCCAGGTCCTGTGTCCTGGGTGCCTGTGCAGAGAGAGGCTGGGCTGCTAGGAACTGTGAGTCTGAGAGGGAAGAGAGATGAGATGAGAGCTTAGCTGAAAGGTAGGGGCACTTGGGCTGTGCAGCTGGATCTCAAGAGCAACTTGAGGCTCTGCAGCTGGATCTCTTTTGAAGTCCTGTGTTGCCCAAAGCCTATCTGCTTTGGATGATCACATCAGACTCTTTTTAAGGCTACATCTACAATTGTAAACGTGACATCTAGCATTGCCACCCTGCACATAGGCATGGCAGGGGGACAGCATAGCTTGGGGACTCTTCCCATGGCGTGATAAGGATGAAGCCATCCTTTCTGGAGAAGAGAGGCTCAGCAGTATGGAAATGAGCCATGCTAGGCTAGATGGTCCCAAGGCAAGAGACCTGGCTCAGTTTACACAGTGGTGTTGGCACAGTCTGGCAGACTGGGGTACATTTGGTAGGCCAGAGAATTGGGTGTTTCCCTCAACCACAGCAGGGCCATGGTGCTGGTGAGGGTGCCATGAACTGTCATGATGGACACAGAGGAGAGCTCTCTCCTTGCAGCTTCCTCTGCTGGGCTGATCTTGAAAGCTGAGCAAATGTACTGGACTCCCTGGACTGTACCACAGGGGAATCTCGCAATGCCTTTTAATTGCGCTTGGCAATCTTTCTTTAGATTCTTCAAAGATTTTTCTGTGACGGTTTCTTGAAGAAAGCTCAGTGGTAGCTTTACCACAGGAGTATGAACCTTAGTGAGGTCTCCTGCTCGCCTGGCTGTTTCTTGCAGTGACTCACTGTTCTTGTGAAATCTATGACTCACTGTTGTCCTGACTGTTATGGCTTGGCCCGTTGCTAGCAAGGAGATGAGGGGTGGCAAAGGTTCCCCAGATATATAATTTAGACATATCGAAGCTGACTGCTCCCTTCCACCCACTCCCCAGCCTTGTGCAAGGTGGAGGCTGCAAGGTGTGTGAGAGCTGATGGATTCAGGATGAGGAGAAGAGTCAGGATCCCTGAGACAAGCACTCTCCCCACCCAGCTGAGCAGGATGAGCAGCCATGCAAAGGGGAAAGCACTGCAACAACATTGATGGAAGACACTGCATGCTGGCACGGAAGGTGGCACACTTTTATTTCTCAACATGACCCAGCCAAAGGTCAGACGTTCCCAGCCTGCTCAGCCCTCGCTTTCCCTCACAGACCCCAAGAGCTCCCTGAAAGCCAGGGGGATGCTGTGGCTCCCCACAGCCTGCTGCGAGGGCTCTGCAGGCCGCGCCATGCCCGTCCCAGCGTGGCCACGGCGCCGGCGGTGGCTGCTGGCAAGCAGGGTGTACAGGAAGGGGTTGACACAGCTGTTGCCATAGGCCAGGCAGGTGACACCAAAGTTGAGGTAGGCCTGGGCAGTGGGGCCGATGCCCAGCCCCTCTCCCTGGTACAGCCCGGCCAGCTGCCAGGCCCAGAAGGGGAGGAAGCAGGCCCAGTAGGCCACCACGATGGCAGAGATCCTGCAGAGGAGCCGCCGCGCCGGGGCCCGGCCGGGCGGCGGCAGCCCCAGCCCCCAGGCCGAGGAGCGGTACGCCCGGGCCAGGCGGGCATAGACGATGCCCAGCACGGCGCCGGGTGCCAGGACGCTGGTGCTGAACAGCACGGTCAGGTAGAGCCGGAAAGACGATGGCGTCCAGGTGGGGACGCAGATGCGCTTGCGGGGGCCGTCCCCCTCCCGCAGCTGAGTCATCGCCATCATGGGGGCCGTGAGCAGGAGCGAGAGGAGCCAGAGGATGGCGCTGGCCAGCCTGCGGCAGGCATTGCTGGCCCGCCGGGCCCGCAGGGGCTGGGCCACCGCCCAGTACCTCTCCAGGCTCATGGCGGTCAGGAGGAAGATGCTGGCGTGCATGGTGAGGAGGTCCAGGCTGAGCAAAAGCCTGCAACCCACATCCCCGAAGAACCAGTCGTGGGCGAAATAGGTGCAAACCACAAAGGGGATGGTGGAGAGGTACAGGAGGTCAGCCAGGGCAAGGTTGATCATGTAGACCCCCAAGGAGCCTGCTGAGCAGCCTGCCACCCTGCCAGAGGCCACTGCCACTGTGTAGATGTTCCCCACCATCCCAGTGAGGCACATGACGAGCAGCACTGCACCCAGCGGCCCCGTGACTAGGCTGTCCCCTCCCAGGACATTGCTGTCATCACCCCCACCACTGCTTTCCTCCAAGAAACTGCCACCCTTGGGATCCTCTCTAGGACTTGGGCTGATGAGAGAAGTGTTGTAAGACATCTTTGGGTAAGTTAAGCAAGAGCAAATCAAGCTCTCAGAGACTGGCTCCTTCCTCCTGCCTTCCACCCTTGCTGTACTGGACACGACTATCCTTAACAGCAAAGCAGCCCAGGGAAGAATGGGGAGAGTTCATCAGACACAGACAGGGTGCTCCAGAGAAGTCTATTCCTCACCTCCAGCTGACCAGTCCATTTTGCTGATGTTGTCCATCACAAGCTCTGTCCGGTTGTTTTCCTTAACCATGGAAGAGCCAAGAAAGGGACACTGCCTTTTCCTTCAAGACCAATATATGCAAGGTAACCTCTGCCAGCCAGGAGGAAAGGTCTCTTTTCTTCGCTAACTTTGTTGCTTCTCCAGAGTGTGCTGGACTCGCAGAAACAGTGGATGAACAAGTAGATTTCTGCTCCTAAATCTGTCAGCTCAGCTCAGACAGACTTTGGAGAGGTGGGCCCTGCCTCGCTGAGCCAACCCCCTGAGAGCTACCTTGACCACTGCATGGAGGAATGTGCCTGACTCACAGCCTCACACACTGGTGTGAATACAGTTCCAAATTTATGCTGGGCTTTTAGCCCCTAGCTGAGGAGCCCCACTGGCTCCCTCCTCTTTCTGGCAGACATGCTTTCTTCCCCCATATCTTCCTTTATCCTGCTCCGTCTTCCTTCTTGTTCTTATTTCCCTTTCTTTATCCCATTTCTCCTTGTACAGTTGTCCTCATTTGGGACAGGAGACAACTGAGAGACAAGACTCCATAATATGGCAGGGAGGGTGGAAAGCATCATGCTGTGGCTTTAGAAGGGAAACAGGGGCCAGCCCTGGAAGTGCAATAGGCAGGGAGCAGCCACATAGCTCTCCCCAGCCAAGCCAGACTGAAAGAACCCTCCCAAGCACTTCAGGCCCTTTGAGGTTTGGGTGTTCTGGATATAGTCCCCAGTTTGCAAGCAGGCCCACCACCTCTCACATTGTCTGTCCTGGCCCTTTTCCGCCTTTGCCCACAGGTCAGCAGCAAGCTCCTAGAGACACAAAGGACTGGATATTTTAGACTCCATTTTTCCTTCCTCTCCACAAAACCATCCTCCTCCTCTGAGCTTTCCCGCTCCTCCCCTCGCAGCCCCGGGAAGCTGCCCCGGAGCAGAGCAGGGAGCAGCAACCCATTGCTTGGCACCACCGCCTTCTAGCGAGGCACCAGCACATGACACCCACGCCCGAAGCTACCCGGCCCTCTCCTCACTCACAGCTGAGCCTCCTCGTCTCAAGGAAGACACGGTGGGACAGAATTTGCTAAGCAGAGACAGATGTGCCATAGCTTCATAGTGGCTGAGTCAAATGCCTCTGCTCATATTCAGTAGTGGTAATTCAGCGGCAAACAGGAGGAGGAGGGGGCATCCCATCAGTACTCCCCTCACTGTGCAATGACCTTTGGTTTTCAGGAAAATCATGCTCCAAACTAGGAGAGATCAGCAAAATGCAGTGAAAATATACTTTTAGGTGGATATTTCCATTGCACCATGGTGATAGGGTGAGAGATGCTTCTACTCATCCAGAAAGTTGATGCTCCCAACAGACTGTGGTGGTCTTGGCAGAGAGTGGGGTCCCCAGAGAAGCAGAGGGGCACCATGAGTCTGCCCATTTGGCTCTGACGGGAATAGTCACAGTTCACATGCCCCAGAAAATACAATGAACAGCTATAGCTTTTTGTTTGATCGTCTGTACTTTTTCCCAAGAAACAACCTCATACCTCAGCAGTTAACATGTCAGCTAATTTAAGACGTTAAAATAAATTACAATGATATTTTTAAATTATTTCTTTAGGAGCTAATTAAAATACTGGTTGTCTCATTAATTCCAGTTAGCTCTCCTTAACACATGAGATACCTTCTCTCACACTGCCTGATAAAACTGCAAACACATCAGATACTACAGTCACCAGCAGAACTCAGCTACTCCTCCCAGCATGTGTAGCACAGCTCTCCCAAGAGACCTTCAAGAGATGAGCTTTAAGACATGAATCATGGGTTGATTTTGTGTTTTAGGCTAACTCTTACTAAGAGAACATGAACATTCAGATATGTATGTGTGATGGACAAGATAAACATATGCAATGTGCAGGTCAGAATGAAAGTGCCAGGCCTTTGACATACAGAAAATGAGGGAGAAGAGATCCATGTATTACCATATTCAGCATCAACCCTAGGCTCTAGTAGAGACAGCAGACTCTGAACTCTATACACCTTATCAGCTCCTCTGCAAGACCCAACCCCTCTCCATTGGTCTGATAGAGACTCAAGTTGGGCAGCTGATCTTCAGTGGCATGAAAATCCCTCACAGTATCTTCCCCAGGGCAGTATTCCACCTCCATCACTTTTTGTTGTGTGTGCATGCACACGTTATCCACATACACAAATGTATATCCACATTATTTATCCACATACCCAAATGTATATCCACATTATTTTTGAGATGATCTCTTAATCTTCTCTGAAGCATTTGGTGGAAGGTCTGCATACAAATGTCATCTGAAGAAGCTTTCAAGCCCATACATGGCAGAAGGAAACAAGCCTCACATTTGGCTGTTTAGGTTACATGTTTTAAGTGACCTTTCTCAACCACTGCACTAACTGGTCAAATATCTAGATGTTTCACATCTCTGTCACCCGCAGATATGGTATTTCTTGTAAAGGAACAGGCTCTTTTAGTCCAGCAGTCCCTGTAACCCGCTGTGGTGCCTGGCTCCAGCCAGGCAGCTCTTTTCTTGCATCAGGTGGGTGCCTGTCTGCAGTTTCATGCAGGAGCGATGCTGGGTCTCACGTCCAACATAGTAAGTGCCAAAGTTTTCAAGGCCTGACTGACAGGTAAGACCTGTCAGCATCCAGCCACATGACAGCAATTTAACAGGGACAGGTTGTACTGAGGATTCAGACGCACAAAATCTTGCACTTGAAAAGAAGCAGCTTAATCAGGCCCTCAAAACAAAGTGGATATCCAATGGGGGCAAAAGTGCTTCAAAGGGTGCTCCAAGAGCACTGTGTTTCTCTGATGTCAATCTCCTCTCCTGTCCTGACAGCCACCCAATAGGACCAGGTAGGGTTGAGTCATAGTGAGATTCCTGCATGGCTTCCTAGGATTTAAACTTGAAGTAGGCTTCAACTGTAGAGAAGAGAAAAGGTGGTGCATTAGGGCAATACCCTGAATGGCAGTGGCAGGAGGGGAAGGAAACAGCATCCAGGCACTTACTTGCATATTCCTGTGGTGTCATGGCCTGGTTGATGACACTAGTGAAGGCTCTGACCCACTCCAGCTGGTCAGTCTCTGTCTCGCAGGTGAAGAGGTATTCCCGGTCAGGGGTGACAATGGTGATGCCATAGTTCCAAGAGAAGTTGCCCTGTGTCCCTGAAGGCAATCCCTTCTGGACACTGTATCCATTCTCTCCACTGCCCACAAACACCTCACCCTTAGCAAAGGCGTCCTGCACATCAGGAGGGAAAGACAGTGATTTATGGAATCCCAGAAGAATAAGAGAACAATTACAGGGCACCTAAGGACAAGAGGACAGTGTGTGAGGACCGGCAATGCAGCAGCAAAAGATTTTAGAGGTGGTCAGGGGTTCAGAAGAGCAGTGAGCCTGTGCTCAAAGGCAGTAGTGAAAAGGAAAATATAAGGCCATGAATCTCAAGAGGTCTGAGAGGGGAGCTGCTGCTCTCATCTCTCTGTGTCACCCTCCCATCACCACCTTTACACTGCTGCCCTCCCTGCTCCCATTGTTTGCAGGCAGTGAAACAAACACAGAAAGCATGTGATGAACTAAAAGGGGTGAAAAGGGGAAGACCTGGAGTCCATTCACAGCAGCTGGGAAACCTGCAAGCCGAGCTCACTGCAGAGCACAGGCTCTGTGCGCACTGTGACCCTGCCCCCAGCACCGCTGCCCGCAGCTGCCGGCGGTCCATCGCCCTCTCACCAGAGGATCCTTGAAGTACATGAGCCTGCGGTGATCCAGCGTGAACCAGCGCTTCTTAAAGGCCTCTCTCTGCTGTGAAGTGAAGAGGTGACATGTGTGAGGGGACAGTGCCCTCTGCTGCGAGCAGTGCGACTGGATACCCAAACTCATCCCAACCGCGAGAAGCAAGCCCCTGCCGTCAGCAACCTCCTCCTCGCCCTTTCTGAGGCGAGAGCGGGGTCAGTATCGGGTGATTCACTGCCAGCTGCTGTCCCCAACTCCTGAACTTCGATGAAGGAGCCCAGAGTTGCGACAGGAGAAATCTGGACACTAAATACCTGTAAGGGCACACGCACACAGACCCATGCAGAGAGATCTGTTGCTCTGGGAGAAAAAAGGGACTCTGGCTTCATCTACTTTCATATGTGTCCTTCCCCTTCCTTTCATTCTCCCCTCCCTTGGTGCCCACACACTTTTCCCACGGGTGTCTAAAGAGTCAGGGGGGAATGAGGAAACAGCAGCAGAAAAACATTGAAGCAGGGAAAGCCAGTGGTGCTCTGGCAGGCCCCTGTTTGATTTTTTCTACCATAGCAGCTCACCTTGGGACCAGTCTTCTCCATGTATCCCTCCTTCAAGAAGTTTCTGGTCAGACGATTTTTGATCTGACAAAATGGCAAGAGTATCATTCACTTAGCTGTGACTCTTCGCTATTCATTTCCCTCCCCCACCCTTCTTTCCCCCAAATTCAGTCACCTTCTAAATTTATATTTCCCAAACTGCCTAGCTAGGCATCACTTCTGCCTCCAAAACAGCAGAGAGCAGCTATTTTCTGACCACCACAGGCCCTTTTAAAAACACCTTCTCATCCCTCTGTCTTTACCCTGCAGTTTCCACTTCCATACCTGGGGTTATAACAGTAACTAACGAGCTCTTTTATCATGCAAGCAGCGGGAGGCTCAGGAGGAGCTCCAGTGCTGCCTTACCTCATTATCGCTGGCAATGGGAAATGCCACCTTCAGGTAATGGAACTGCACTGAGCGGATGGCATTGAACCAGTCCACTACCTCCTGAGGGCAGAACAGGACAGAAAGCTTAGCCAGAGCAACAGAGGGGCATCTAAACTCACCCAGCTGCACCCAGCCCTGAGTTAGGTACAAGC